AACGTGACACTTTTCATCTCGAACCTGTGTGCTCGTTCATTCACTTTTAGCCTTCTTGTGGGCAGTTTTAGTTTCTTCGAGATGTTCAGCAGAAGATCGTTTGCGTCCAGGAGAGTCGTCCTTCTTGGCTGAAGAAGTCTTTTTGTCCTTCTTCTCTTTCTTGCTCTTCTTTGACTTCTTTGACTTTTTAGCCTTCTTTTTAGCTTCCTTGTGTTTGGGTGTTTGGGGGATCAAAGTAGAGCTGCTGTCTGAAGCGACGGTTGAGGCCCCTTCTCCGCGGGAACTACCAGCAACCGAAACCTGTGAAGTAGTAGTCGGCGTGGTAGTCTGTTCGGCCTGCTGGGCCTCCACCAGACGAGGCAGCACCTTCTGCAGCAGCTCCGCGGACATCTCCGCTTTTACCTCCTCAAAGAAGTCGTCAAAGCGCTTCTTCATCACAACGAACTTCGTCTTGAGCAAGGCATTCAGTTGGTCGGCCTTCTCCTTAAGAAAGTCCTCCTTGTTGCGGTTGTTCACTTGCTGGCTCATAGCTGAGCTGGTCGGTTGAAGGTTAGAATTGCGGATCAGGGTTCACCTTTGAAGCGATGATCTTTGAAGAGTTGTTTCTTTTCCCAAAACGCAGCGGCGATTTCTGTCGATGCGGAATGAGTTGCGTTGCGCTGAGTCAGCTGAATCAGAAAGCTGCTCCACTCACTTGTTTGTTCGAAAGGCTATTTCCACACATTTTTCATCTTTTGTCCAACTTTACCTGATTACCACTTATTTTATCCACACCCCCTCCTACTACAGGCCGTTTCCGACTACAACTCGGGCGACCCGAGCCACCTGCAGCTGCGACGAAACGACCTCGTGCTGCTGCTGCCCAGCTCCCACTCACCGCCCACTATTGCCAGCCAGAAGCTGATGCTCGGACGGCGAGTGGCCGACGGAGAGCAGGGCTACTTTCCCGCCTGCTGTGTGGAGCGACTGAGGAAGCGGCGTCGACCCAGAAGACGATCTTCAGCTCAAAATGGAGATGGAGGGGAGAGCGGTGACACGGGAGTTCCTGGAGGAGGAAGGGTCGAGGGGCGACGCGATTTGAAGCTCAAGGGTAGTGGAGGTGGTGGTATTCAATCTGCTACCCTGCCCTCTCGAGGGCGACGGGGCGCCCGAAAGTGCCTGCTGGATAAGGTGAGTTGAGTTTTTTGGGTTTATCAAATTAACCTCTTCCTTATCTCTTGCAGGGCATCACCCGCGGCCAGTACCAGGAGAGGACGGTGACGCTGCACCGCGGCAGCAAGGGCTTCGGTTTTGTGCTGCGCGGCGCCAAGGACTCCTCACCGCTGCTGCAGCAGCGAAACCCTCCGGTTCTCGGAGGCACAACTGAAAATGCTTCCACCAAAACTTCCGCCAGCAATTCCCAAGCAGCCCCACCACCACCTCCGCCCAATCTGACCTTCATCGGCCTGCAGTACTTTGACGAGATTGAGGCGGCGGGCGTGGCCGATGCGGCGGGCATCAAACGGGGCGACTACCTGCTCGCCGTCAACGAGGTCGACGTGCGGCACATGTCCCACGAGAATGCGGTGCAGCTGATTCGGCAGTCGGGCGACCGAGTGACGATGACCATTGCGACGCACGTCCCCAAGCAGCTGGTGTCCATTCTCAAGAAGAAAGGGGCGGCAGGGGCCGCCACGGGGAAGACCTCCACTCCAAAGACTTCCGCCAAGCAGATGAGCTCTAGTCAGTCGGCGATGTTGTCGTCGTCCCACCAGGGAGGAATCTACGGAACCGGAAAGGGAAAGGCGCCACCGCCGGCGCCGCCCAAGCGCGATCCCTCGACGACGCTGACTACCTCGGCGGCGGTGGCCTCCTCGGCAGCCCTCGCTTCGAGGACCAGGGCCCGATCGCTGGTGGTGCCCTCCGAGGTGAGGACGGCGCACAGTTTGATGACGACGGCGGCGGATGATGGTGCTCAGAAGTTGGGCAAGGAGGAGGATCGGTGTGCATCGCCTTCTAGCTCAGTGGACTCGATGGCTCGAGGAGGAGGAGGAGGTGGTACTCTGCAATCTCCTTCTCGAGGCGGCAAGGTGGCCTCCATTCGGGCACATTCCTCGAGACGCATCTCCTCCTACGAGCTGAACGACTTTATGTCTCGGCAGACGGCGGAGAATGCTCAGCAAGTCAAGGTTTGTGAATTCTTTCTACTGACTTTTGTAATATTAAAAATTTTAATTTATTAGACAAATGGCGTTGATCAGCTTCCGGTGCCCCCGCCTCCGGCGACGGTGCAAAAGTCGGACTCGGTGGACAGCTGCTCGTCGCACTCCTTTCCGCCGCCTCCTCCTCAGGCCTCTTCCTCTGCTGCTGCTCCTTTCCAGACATCTATTGTCAGTGTTTTGCTCAGTTTTAGCTTAGTTCCAGAAGACATTTGACTAATTTTTCGTCTTTTTTCATTTCACAAACCTAGGTTAAGGTGACATTGGCCAAGCAGCCACCCGAAGGAGGTAGTGAAGGTGGTGAAAGTGGAGGTTGTACTTCACGTCCCCTTTCCAGCTTTCAGCCAGTTCGAACTGCTGCTGCTGCAGTTCAGGAGAAGCCAAATGAAGCCGGGCTCGGCGAAGCTGTGCCTCCCATTCCTGAGCCTGACTACTCGAGTGACGAAGGAGGAGCTGATGATGCAGATAAAAAGAAAAAGTCTAAAGAAGCTCAAGGAGGAGATCACGCTCATCAGAATGGTCAACTTCAGCCAACGACCACAGCATCAGTTTCTTCAAGCAGCAAACCCGGCTCTTCAGAGCATCCTGCGGTGAAGCTGACCAGCACGGCCACTGTCGTCTTTCGCTCCTCTAGTCCTGTTCCTGGAGCTGGTCCTGCTGCTGCTGATCAGACCATCACCACCACCTCTTCAAATGATCAACAAGCTCAAAAGAATGGCACCAACACCTCCTCTTTCACCACTCGAAACATGTTTGAGGAGCTGCGAGAGCAGAGCGCCAAAATTACTAACTCGGCGAGGGCCCGGTTTGCCACTGATGGGCGGCAGAACTCTACCACAGCTGCTGCTGGAGAAGGAGATCAAGGAGGCAATGAAGCAATTACCAGAGCTTCTATTCTGAAGCGAGGCAACTCGCAAGAGGGCAGCGATGCAGTTAGCAATGTCATGAAGAACGTGGCCGAGTTTGAGAAGCGGCTGGTAATTGGTGGGGGTGTTAAGGAGAAGATGAATGGAACGGCTCCTAATGGAGCCGCTGGTGGAGGAGGAGGTATTTCCGCCGCCGACCTGAACACGATGCGAATGTCCAAGTCGTGCATTGAGGAGCTCCACGCGGCCAACAGTCTGAAGAGAGGAGGTAAGTTGAAATGGAAGTTCTATTTGACTATTTCCACCCACTCACCTTGTTTTTTATCTCATCTTCTTTCGATTCACCAGAATTTGCCACCCTCACCCGGGCCACCCTTCGCCAGCACCAGCTCAATCAGCAGCAGCAACTGCAAATGCAACAACAGCAACAGCAGCAGCAACCTGATTCCCGACGAAACTCGGCCATCATCTCGGCCATGGCGGAGAAGGTGGCGGCGGTGAATCAGCTCGTGGCAGAGCAACAGTTGGCTAGTCAAAGCGGAGGAGTTGGTGGTCAGAGTAAATCGCTGAACAACTCCCCTGTTCCCATGTCCTTGCTCGGAGGAGGTGCTCAGAAGCAGCCTTCAGCGGTGGTCGTGCAGAAGCCCATTGCCATGCTGCCGCCAGGATCCTCGCAGACACTGGCATCAGGAGCAGGAGGGGCTTCAGTTCGGCGGTGTGTCACCGTCTGTGAGGACCCGGTGAAGGCGATTCACCTGCAGCAGCAGCACCAGGCGTTGCGGGCGCAGCTGGCGGCGGCGGCTGCTAGCGGCAATCAACAGCAGCAGCTACTGCTGATGAAGTCGCTGAAGCAGCTAGGCGGCTTGTCGTTGGCGGAAACTTCCACCACTTCTTCGATTCTGAAGCCCACGGCGACGAGAGCGACTCAGCAGCAGTTGAGAGGTGGATATAGTCCAGGTATGTGTTCTATTTTGTTTTGGGGTTTTGAATATTTTGATTAATTATATGATTTTTTCATCTTATCAGCCGACCTCGTCCCACCTCCACCGGAGTTTGCCGCCTCGCCTAGCGCTCAGCAGCAGGCGGTGGCAATGGCCGCCGCTAGTCAACAGCAGACACTTCGGCAGGCAATGACCGCCCAGCAGAAGGTCTACGTCCAGCGACAGCTGCAGCAGCTTCAGCAGCAGCAACAGCAGCAGTCATCGAGTACCTCGCCGCTGACAGTGGCTGGTCAGCAGCAGCAGCAACAGCATCACCACCATCACCACCACCAGGTTAGCCATGATGATGATAACAGTAGCAACAATAGTGCTAGTAGTGCCACTCCCACCGTAGTGAAGGTTGGTGGAGTCTTTCCAAAGGTGCCTCTTAAGCCAGTGCCTACAAAGGCGGCCAGCACGACGCTGTACTTTCTTTGATTACATTCATTTTTGTTCCTTTTTCATTACGATTTTTTTTCATTTTTTGTTGTCTAAACTGCTTACTTGCATCCTTCTTCTTGTTTTTTGTTTGTAATTTTTATTTTTGCTTGTTTTAACTTTTTTTTGTTTTTGTTTGCGTGATCTTTATTTATCGTTTTTTACTTTGTTGTTTTGTTTTTGTAGACGGTTTTGAATAAAGAGACCGTTTTAGTTTGGGAGTGCATTTTTTGTTTGCATGAAGTAGTGCCCCTTTCCATAATCATCATATAACCGTTCTTTCCTAACCACAAACTTTGAACACTTTGAACGCCCTCTCTCTTTAGCTGGTCTCCTCTGAGCCGATATCAGCGTCGGCGGCAGCTCAACACTACCAACAGCCTGCTCAGGTCCAGGCCCAGCAGCAGCAGCAGTTACAATCACATTACCATCTGCATCACGGCGGCGGTGGAAGCCTCTCCTCTTCGGCGCCCACTGCCGCCTCGGCGGAAGCTCTTGCTTTGATGCGAAGTTCGCTGATGGGAGCTCAAGGTGGTGGTGCAGGAGCCTACAGCATCTACAGCAGTGGTGGTCAACAGCAACAGCAGCAGACCTCATCGAATCAGCAGCAGCAAAACCAGCTCCTCCTTCAGCAGAGAGCGCTGGCGGTCGCCAATGCCAAACTGCTTCAACAGCAGCAGCAACAACAACAGCAACACCTCATTCGACCTCAGTCCTCGATGTCGGCAGCGCAGTACCACACGCTAGGTCATCAGACGAGCAAGCCCATTTCCATAGGACAGCAGCAGCAGCAGCAGCAGTACTACGTCACCACTTCCGGGCCTAATACACAGACCGGCGGAAGTGCCCAGCAACAGTACCACTTTGCCACGCTCAGTCGCCACCAACAGCAACAACAGCAGCAACAACAACAACAGTACCAGCTGATAAATGCGCTCAGCTCGCAACAGCAGCAGCACCTGGCACAGCAACAGTTTGCCACGCTCACCCGACAACATCAGGCGATGCTGCAGCCGGCTCTGGCACAACAGCTAAGCGGAGGGGCTATTTCCGGTGGAAGTGCCGTCTACACACAGCAACAGCTGCAGCAGCTACGACAGCAACAGCTCGCCCAGTTGGCAGCCGCTTCCGGCGGAGGTGGAGGAGGTGGTGGTGGTGGGGCAGGAGGAACCATAGCTCGGCTAGTTCAGCAACAGCAGCAGCAGCTCAGACAGACGCCGCCGCTTTCTGCGGCTCAGCTGCAGCAGCAACAGCAGCAGGCGGCAGCGAGTAAACAACAACAGCAGCAGCAGCAGTATCAGCAGGGACAGGCTCAGCTGTACGGGACCAGTACAGGAGCGACCACTGCTGTTGCCACTTCCGGTGCGACGCCCACCTACGCCCGCAAGTCGCTGGTGGAGTGGACGGCAGAGGACGTGCAGGAGTGGCTGGGGCGAATTGGCATGGCGGAGCATCGCGCCAAGTTTGAGTGCTTCAACGGGGCGAAGATGCTTCGCCTGGACAACAATGCGCTGGTGGGCATCGGCGTCCGCCACCAGCAGCACCGCATCTACCTGCTGGAGAAGCTGAAGCAGCAGATCTGGCAGAGTCACCAGCTGGCCACGGCCAACTAAAACCTCATCCTCATTTTTGTTCGTTCCTAGTTGCCTATTAATTTTGTCTTTCTTTTCTTTCTGGTGTTCACCACGACTTCATTTGCTATTAGATGTTTGATTCTACAACTTTTTTTTGCTTTTTTGTTTTTTCAGTTTGTTTCAGCAGTATTGCCCATCATCTTCGCACAACTCCTGAACTCCTGACTGTCAGGTGTTCTCCTAGTCACCAGTAACCGGCTGCTACTGTTCTACTTTTATCTCTTTGTATCACTTTTCATCATCAATTTTCCTTTTCAACAACGTTCAACTCTTTTTCCCCTTCTTATCTTGACAACCACCACCACCACACAACGACATTTGCCACAATTCCTCTTTCTCATTTCGAGCGTCAGTGATCTCTCTCTCTTTTTCTCTTTTCATCTCCGACTTCTGTCGGTTTTTTTGCTGCGGTCTTTTTCCTGTTCAAACACGCACACATTTACATTCACACATTTACACACTCGAAACTTGCGCTTCGATTGCTCAGACAAACTCACTCACTCACTCACTCACTCACTCACTCACTGACAGACACTTCTTTTGCCACCACTTCTTTTCTCTTGCAACTCTTGACATAATAACAATAACCAACCAAATAAATACAAAAGAGAAAGCAAAACTGCGGGGTTCATTTCCAGTAAAAGAGAGTCCGTTTCGCGCCCACACTTGGTCGTCACGGAGATACTTTTTTTGCAGGCTCTTTGCACAGCACTCCCGAGCCCGTCGATCCGAATCCAAAAATATGCCATTTTTTGGCGATACTCGTCGCTTACCAGCAGCTCACTTACCTCGTCGTCGTCGTCGTCTCGCGACGCTGGTCACGTTGGCAGACGATCGTTTGCAGTTTTCGTCAGCTGCAAACATTTTGAGTTCCGTTTGTTTACCTTTAGGAAGAAGAAGCTCAAGACCACCAGCACCACTTTTTTGGCGACACCATGTTCCAACAAGGGCGGCAATGGCGGTGGACGACCAAGGTCTCATTGCTGCTGGTGGCCGCCCTTGGCTACCACTTCATCTTCTTCGCCGGTGATCACCCACTATCAGCAGAAGCCTTTCTGATAAAGCTGCACAATGATCACAAGCACTACTAGTAAGCAAAGGCGTTGTTGCTCCTGTATTTGGAAACACACAAATCTCTAACCCTTTTCTTTTCCACACAGTAAAGCCCGAGGCGGCTACCCTGTACTCGGGTGGAAATACTGGAAGCGGCGCATGTAAGCTCTATGCAGCTTATCTGTAGCCACCACTTATCAATCTTTCCCTTTTTCCATTCCAGACACTGGCTCTTCACTGGTCGATTTGACCCGTTTCTCTAAGGAGAGCATCACCGCCCAAAGATCCTGACGTTCTCGAATCACCTCAAAGAAAACCAATTTTCGAATTTCGAAAACTGCACTCACTCTCGCTACCTCCATCTGCTGGTGGAAATGGAAACAGCGCCGTCGATCTGGTGGTGATTAGGATCAGCAGCAGCAGCAGCAGCTGCGCACCTTACTTCAGCACTCTCCTGTCTGTCTTTCTCTCTCTTTCTCTTGCGTTATTGTTATCTCCTGCTGACCTCGTGTGCTCAGCAGCTTTGTTTTCACCACCACCAACCGAGCAGCTTTCTTCTTGAGGTGTCTCCTTCCTGCAGTCATTCATTCATTCGTTCAACACCAGCACCCTCATCTCTTTTATCAACTCCTAAGGATGTATTATCATTTTCTGGTAACCCCTAACTAGCTGCAGCAGTCAGTTCTTGGAGATTCCTTTGATCAACATCACCCTCATTATTCTAATCATCCCCTTCATCGCTGATCTTATCAGCTGCTCGCAACTACCTGTTTTCTCCTCACCTCCTTTTTCTTTGGTTATTTTTCCGTCCTCCTCATTCCTCTTCTCTTTTCTATTTCCATTTCTTTTATTTGCTCGATCGGATCGGATCGGCATTTGTTTACCGCCGCACACACACACACACTTACACACCAACTAAAAGAGTCGCATCGCATTTGCTTGTCCAAGAAGATTGTTGCTGTTGTGACCACCACCAGGCAACCAGCTTTGTGCGTGGTGCACTGATCATCATCATCTGCTGCTGCTGCTAGTGATCCTCGTCGTTTTGATGTAGACGTTGCCGCTGCTGCTGTTGTTGTTAGGGCAATGTCAGCAGAAGCATCAACAACATACTCGGCGCTACTGGCAGTGATCGTCGTCAGATCGTACTAAACAACACACAAAATACCGCTTCATCATCGGTTTTTGCATCACTTTCACCATCGCCTCAACCAACGAACCAGCCAGCAAACAACAACAACAACAACAGGACAGAACAACAACAACAGGCCATGACTGAGTGCTGTTCAATGTGCATGACTGACGACTGGTGATTGCGTGAATAAACACTCACCAAGCAATACTGGTGACGAATGACTCAGATTGATGATAACCACCACCAATTCTTCGGTGTCGTCTGGTGTCTGCCTGACATGACTCATTGGATGCAGCAGCTGCGGTGGTAGAAAATGGTTATTTCACCAGATGATCACCACCACCAGAGTTCTTCATCGATGACAAGCATCAGCACCATCAGCACTGATTTATCGTAGTGTCAAACGCTTTTATTATTTGTGATTACACTCGTTTGCATTTACTGAAACAAAAGCAACAGCAACAGGGCATCTCATCTTTCAGCTCACACAAATGGGCTGCGTCTACTCGAAGCAGAATTTTTCGGGTTCCGGCGACGGCAGCTCAAGAAGAAAACAAAAGAATCAAAACGGCTCTTCTTCAAATGGAGCCGCCGGTGTAGAGCTCAATCCGAGCGGCGGCGGCTCTGAGCCAAACAGTCCAAACCATGCAGGCAATGGCAGTCTACGCCAGCGAATCTACGACGTTGAGGTAAATGTTCCTCTTTTTTGCAAATCCTTAGAGCCCTTTCTGTATGAAAACCATTCACAAAACAGGTGTGCAACGTCGAGAAGGAGGGTATCATCCACGGACAGCTGGAGATAACGGACACCAACTTGATCTACCGCCTCAAGGGCCGATCTCCCATTATATGGCCGCTCAGGTACTACGACTACGACTTTCTTACGATTTGATTTATATTTTTCATCACTATTTCCCTCTAACCAGATTCCTTCGCTCCTACGGCCACGACAAGGACATCTTCAGCTTTGAATGTGGCCGGCGGTGTCCCACTGGCGAGGGCGTCTACGTCTTCAAGTGCTCAAAAGCAGAACAGCTCTTCCGGACGCTGCTCGATGTGATCAACAGCGCCACGACGCTGAACGCCTCCAACGGCGCCATCAATGTAAGTGTTAATTGTTGCTCAACTGCTGTTGTTGTTGTTGTTATTTTCGAAAGTAGCGGCACGCGAACGGCGATGATGATCAAGGACGCGGATGACATGTTTTCATCGTTCGCTGATTTCTTGCGAAGAATTTCTCTCTCTCCCTCTTCCAGTGCAGACAGACTTAATTAGACTCCCCACTTTTATCTGAATTCCAAATCTAACGCACTTTGGTGTTTTCTCCGAAATAGAACCCCGGGCAAATAGCGCATTCCAGCTTGGCAGCAGGCAACAACAACAACAACAACAACAACTCCGCACATGAGTACCAGAACCTAGCGCCTTTCGAGGGCGGAGGAGGTGGTGATCTTCACGGCAACTTTGGCACACTTCCCAGCCGCCTTACCACCACAGCGGGGGCGGCGGCCAACGACGTCACCCCTCGACCGCACTCTTCAGTGGGCACGGCGCCCAACTCCGAGGTGCAGCACACGTACCTCAACTCCAGCGGCCTCACCTCTCACCACCACCATCACCCTCAGCACCCACAGCACTTTCACCAACATGTGGTCAGAGGGGATTCGGGAGGAGGTGGTGGAGGTGGTGGTGGCAAGTCAACAACGCCCAACTACTACACTCAGCCGGGTACCAGCTCTTCGGCCATGGTCTCCTCCACCTCCTGTCAGAACTGCTCCACGGGGGGCGCCGCCTTCTTTTCGCAGCAGTCAGTCGGCTCCACTGGCTCGAGGGGATCGCTCAATGGAAATGGCATTGCAGGAGGAGGAGGTGTTCTCAGTGGGCGGCGGTCTAGTGCGAGCAATCACAGCTTTGGTGGCGCCGGTGGTGGAAGGGACTGCTTTGACTCGAGCACCTTGCCGCCCATGTCGAGGACGATAGCGCCCAGAGCTCACACTTATGAGTAAGTGTGTTTACTTTGTTATGATTTGAAAGTTTACAAACAATTCTTTCTCTTTTTTGTAGCCGAAAGAACAGCGAGCATCACCTGTATGAGAACCACGAGGTGCCAACGGCGGTGGCAGCGACAACAGCCACGACTTCCACTACACTCCCAATCTTGAACTCCAGACTGCGGAAGCTGGAGGCAATCAGCTCCAACATGACCCCCTCTGACGACCAGAGCACTTTTTGCTATGTGAACCTCGATGGAGGGGCGGAAACAGCCGCCGCCTCCTCCTCTTCCTCTTCAGCCACCCTAGCCAGCAGAAGGCAACAGGAGCGACAGATCTTTCTTCAAGGTAAGGCTGATTTGCTGTGTTTTTGAAAGGATTTATCAAGCCACTTCTCTTCAGACTTGGTGCCCACGTTTCACCACCAGAACCCTCACGCCCATCACCACCACCTTCAAGGTGGCATGTCGTCCAAGTCGGCGCGGACGACGCCCGAGCCGAGGTTGAGCTACATTCAGCTGGATCTGAACAAAGATACGAGTACAAGCGCAGCTTCAGCAAAGACGAAATCAGAGAGCTTGAAAGTCACTTCGACATCGGCAGCAGCAGTGGATAGAAGCACACTTGAGAAGAGGACATCATCTCCGTTATCATCCTCCTCCTCATCAGCGGCAGCAGCAGCTATCATCTCCAATGGAAAGGCGCTGGTCAACGGCTCGGGTGGCTCAAAGGTTCGAAAGGGCAGCGGCGGATCGTTGTTGTCCTCCTCTCCGCTGGCGGCTGTGCCGCCCTCCTCCTCTTCGGCAGCTGCCACATCTTCCTCAACAGTTCCAGTCAATGGTGATATCCTCAAAGAGGTCAGTCTGGTCAACGGAAGTCATCAGCCGGTGGCCGCTCCGGTGGCCCCCGTTTCAATTCCCTACGCCCAGATTGACTTTGCGAAGACGCTCGCCCTCTCCAACTCTGCAGCGAATCACCGAAAGCTGTAGAAAGAGAGTGAGAGCTGTGTAATATATGATGATGACGACGATCTACTACTACTACTATTACTACATACGTTGTTCAAGAGCTGTTATCTACTACTATTGTTTATTATTTTATTCTATTACTTTCGTACAACTGTTTATTTTTTTACTTCTTCATCTTCACCTTCTTCTTCTTTTGCTTACGCTGATACTTACCTGGTAGCTACTTACGGACGGAACAAAGTGGCTACTGTGAATAAAAAGAAAGGAACGGAGGTGCTGCTGTTTTTATTTTTATATTAGATTCAAACCAAAGCAAGTGAGAAATTACACATCATAGAAAGTGGAGTTTAAGGAAAGGAGTTAGGAAGTGGATGGCTCAGTCGACGATTTTGTGGACGATGAAAGAGGTGGTACTGGTAGTGTTGGTAAGGTATCATCTCTGTCATCGTCCGAATCGAGGCCATTCTCAGGCAGCAACTGCATCTCCACAGGTAACGTCTCCTCAGTGATGTCCCCCACATCTTCCTCTTTGACCTCCTCCTCCCTTTTCTCGTCCAAGTTATAGGCCAGTTGAATGAGAGTGGTGATTGTGGAGGAAGTGGTCGTAGTCAAGCTGCTGCCTTCATCGTCGTCTTCCTCAGCCTCTTCCTCTTCAGCAATTACCTCATCATTGCTGGTAATCACCGGCATAGTGGTCTCTGTTGGGCTGTTGTTTTCTTTCTGTTTATCATTGTCACTATCGTCCTTTTCCTCGATAAGCTCCTCAACTGCGTCCACCTCTTTCTCATCTTCATCGGTCACCTTTGCTGCTGCCTCTTCTATATCATCATCAGCAGTTTTCAATTGTATCTCATCCTGCTTAATCTTTTCAGCAGTGAACGAAGACTGCTGCTGCAACTTTTCATCTGTTTGTGTGTGATCGGCATTTTGACCACTTTCAGCATTCTCCTCCTCCTCCTCCTCCTCCTCCTCCTCCTCCGCCATCTCGTCTACAAGGTGAAGACTTTCTTTCTCCTCTTCTTCTGCCACCACCAATTCCTCCTCCTTCTTCTCAATCACTGCATTGCCATCGTCACTCAGACTTTGTGAGGGATTTTCAGTCTGATTTTCGTCAGTTGTGTTGTGGTTTTCGTCTTTGATCTTTCCAAGCTCACTACCACCACCACCACCACCATCATCATTATCATCATCCAACAGCAGCCCTTCAATTCGCTTCTCCGTAGCAGCCAAAACAGCCTCAGCACTCTCAATGGCAGCCTTCACCGCAAACCAGGTCTCATCGTGATCGTCCTCGTCCTGGTCCTGGTGGGCGTCAATAATATCAAGAAAAATCTTGCTGTTAACACCTCGAATGTCGCCAACACCATCAAAGGACGTTGAAAAGCTGCTGTTGCTGCTGTTCTGGCAAGCAAAGCAGGGCCGGCCGCCGACGACGTCCACCAGCGTAAAGTCCGGCGAGAGGCGGGTGCCCGGGCGATGCTTGTGCGGACAGCAGGTGTTGATGCGCAAGTCGCGGATGCCATTGACGAAGAGGATCACCGAGAAGGGGTGATTCGAGCTGTTGTTGTTGCTGTTGCTAGGCAGTGGACGAATGTCAAAGGAAAAGACGTCTGAAGCAGAACGAGAAAATAAGTTAGTTTCCCAAAAACTTCTCACTTACCTCCCGCAACAACCGCCCCATCGTAGATGAGAATGGAGTTGCCGCCAATGGTGAGCTGCTGGAAGATCTTCACACTTCGAGGTGACCGTCTTGAGTTGATGTTGGCGGCGGTATAGCGCAGCGTCATTCGCACCTTCTGCCGTACACCATTGGCTGCTGCTGCTGCTGTTGCTGGACCAAAGGGTTTCATCAGCTTTCGGGAGCTGCTGCCTTTCTGCTGCCGCTGCAGTTGCTGCAGGTGATGGTGATGTACAGTGCTGGTGCTGCCGTTGCCGTACCACCTTCTACTCTTGCCGGGTCCTCCGCCCGTCGTCTGACTGATGGCGGAGAAGTTTGGGGCGGCCTTTTTTGGAAGTCGAGGAAACTCCGAAACTCTACCTCCTCGTCCCTTCAAAACGTCAACAGCATCGTCTGTCAGCGAGTCGCCGTCCACTGACTCAATGTCCATCCCCAAATCAACATCTATTTCAGAGTCTTCACCACCATCACCATTGGCTAGATTAGCGCAGCTTTTCGACTTTTGAATCACCACCATCACCTCGGGTGAATGTGCTCGCTGGAATGATGATGATGTTGAAGCACTGTCCTCATTTGCTGCAAGAAGATCAGGCGTGGAGGTGGCATACTGCTGAGGCGACGAAGGAGTTCTCGAGGCTGACCGCCCATAGGAGGACTTGGGTCGAGAGTCGCGACTGATACTTCGCCGCTGACGATAGTGATGTCCACGATGAGAGGAAGAGGAGGCAGAGGACTTTGAGGAGGTTTCAAAGAGACCTTTACCACTTGAAGAACTGACGTCCTGGTAGCTCTTGCTTGACCTGAGCTCATTTGCTGCATTGAAGGCGTCAGTTCGATGTCTCGAGACGTGAGGACCGGTTTGCCGGCGCCAGTGCTGCTGCTGATAACCTGCTTGCTGATCTAGGTGCGGTGAGCTGCCCGAGGTGATCGTCTCGTGCTCTCGAATGGCTCGAATCATGCGGTCCAGGCGCTGGAGGATGGTGCTATCAGCTTCAGGTCCGGTTGAAGGCTCACCAGGATGTCCGACACCATTGGCGGCCGCCAGTTTGATCTGCCTGATAAGCTCCTCTTGATTGGACGCTGAAGAGGAGAGAAGGGATTTGCCGGTAAGGTGTCGAAGGGGTTTTCCATCAGGCTCATTTTCCCCCTCTTCTTCACCATTTTCGCTTTGCCTGAGCAGATCCTCAAGCAGATGGTACAGCTGCTGCTTCTGTCGTCGCTCCGTCCGCTGAACGCTCTTCGTGCTGCTGATCTCATCGACAATTTTGTTCTCTTTGTTGATCTGTCAGAAAAAAGAACAAAAATGGATTTGGGAAATAGAAACAGAGCCATTTAGAAATCACAAGGAAAAATTCAGGCACTTACAATGTTTGCCCGAAGCAGCTGCCGGCGAATGGTCGGCTGGCGAAAGTAGGCCCGCAGGTGCGGATCCCGCAAGCTGTTGTACCCGCTGAGGGAGCTGGTTGGGTGAGGGCGGAGGTGGTTATGATTTCCCGAGCCAGGATACACAAAAAGAGGGGGAGGAAAAAGAAGAGTCGGATGTAAAAGAAAGCTTGGCCATTTGGAAACCTCGCTCATGCACACTTACTCATTGTACTTCTTGTGCTGAGCTACCACGGCCCACATTCCGCCACTGGATCACATCAGACAGGAGTCACACGATTCGATTCCAAGTGCCTCACAGAATAGCAAAATTCAGGAATCAAAGTTGCTCTTTTAGAAGAAAGAAGTAGAAGAAGAAGTAGAACAGCCGAGACAGCCGCCGCTGCCACCGCTGTCGATCAACAGATTCTCTCTTCTTTCTTTCCTTTTGCTGCCGTGGCTGCTGCCTGGCAACTAACCTGAAAACTGAACAACAGAACAGACCACTGCCGCAGTATACAGTTCTACAGTGTGTACCAGGTGTTCCCCGTCTCACCAGACACCAGGTTCTCACCGTTGGAACACTTCTGGAACAATGGGGAAAGTGGTGGAAAAGAAGAAAAAGTGGTCGTCGTTGCAGAGTGGGATTTAGAAGCGGGAAAAGCGGCACCGTGCAAACTGGGCGTCAGACAGTGACGTTTTCCTTCGGCTGCGGCGGCGCTGCAGTCGCTCCAGCATTGAAAAAACGGCTTGGCCTCTCATCCACAGGTCATTTCGCTCCCGGCTCCTGTGGCCAGAAGACGTGTGCTCGAGCTGTCGACCTCTCATTTTCTATTTCTCTTGCAGCCTCGTTTGCTGAAGTGTCTGCTCCAAATCGAAATGCCACCCGCCTCTGGTTCCAACTTCGAGCCGCTATCGACCATGGATGTGAATACGAAGAAGGAGATTCTCCAGATAATCGACGACCTGGAGAAGCACTTGCGGGAGTTTATCAATCGAATTCGGATGATGCTCATCGAGGCGCCTACTCTGGCCCCTCCACCGTCTCCATCTGCTCTGGCCCCTTCACCGCCGCCACATACTCTAACTCCTTCACCATCTCCGCCTACTCTGGCCACTGCACAGATTCTATCTACTGTGGCTCCTGTACCGTCTTCATCTACTCTGACCTCTTCACCATCTCCGCCTACTCTGGCTTTTACATCGTCTCCATCTACTCTGGCACCTGCGACTTTGCCGCCAACTTTGGCTCCTAGAACGTTTCCTCCTACTTTTGCGCCTGCCGCGTCTTCGTCTACTCTGACTCCTGAATCATTTCTGTCTACTCCTGCTCCTGCACCGTCGCCGCCTTCTCCGGTTCCTAGACAGTCTCCATCTACTCTGACCGTTGTAACGTCGCCGCCTAATCCGGCCCTTACATTGTATTCGCCTACTCTGGCTCCTGTCCAGTCTCTGCCCACTTCTGCTCCTGGACTGTCTTCATCTACTCTGGCTTCTACACCGTCACCGTCTACTCTGGCACCTACACCATCTCCGCCCATTTTGGCCCCTACACAATCTTTGCCTACTCTGGCCCCTGTACTGTCTCCCTCTACTGTGGTTCCTGCACCGTCTTCTCTTTCTTCTCCATCACCGGTGCTAATACCTGCTCAGCCAATGCTTGAAGTCACCCACGAAGCGGTCTTCTCTATGGTTCACTCTTCACGCGACTTTTTCCTTCACACGGTAGATTACGCCCAAGTAGAGGACTTTTACGTCAAGTTCAACAGCAGATACAGTGCAGAGCTGAAGATTCCGCCCCTGGCGGAGAGGCTCAAGACGACAAATGTTGCCGTCAAGCAGTTGGTCTGTGTTCGCTCTAATACTGAACAGTGCTTCTATCGAGGTCAGATTTTGAAAGCGAACGACGATGGTTCCTTTCTCGTTCGCTGCATTGATTTTGGCGATTTTCTGACAGTACAGCCTGACGTCATCTTTACTCTGCACGAAGAGTTTTGCAGTCAACCGGCGATGGCAGTGCACTGCTACATTGACGGTAAGTCTTGGTTTTCAATTTTTTTATGTAACCCACACTTTTTCTTTTCACTCGCAGGAAAGTGGGATCAATGTAACGCCATGTTTGACACGCTGATACTCTCTTTTGACAAGTTTCCTGAGCCAACTGACTTCTTTGACGCTGCCCGAGTCACCATTTACCCGAGACTGGTCGACGGCTCCAAATATCCAGTCTCAGTGGAGGTGAAGACTAGGGCAGGCCAGAACTGGAAAGAGCTGCTCGAGGTTCCTCTGGACAAGACCTGTGTCACCGTACCGCAAACTATTAAGAGCAAGTTTTTTTGCTTTAAGGACTTCCTCACTAGTGCCCGTCTAACTGAGGAGAACTTTGACGAACGCTCGCCGGAAGGCTATCAGCAGTTGACGCAGTTCTTCGGAAACGCGGTTCACTTGCTGAAGCTGGGCGAGCCCACCAGCTCCGTCTCAAAGCTGCGCTGCATTTACGTCGCCTGCGTTAGTCGCTTTGTGCTGGTCGCTGAGGGCGCAGCTGATCTAGTGACCAACATGAGCCTCTTCTACTGGGGCAACCTTGAGCGCCCCTTTGCCGGCACTGTGAATCCCGGCTCACTGGTGGTCTTTGCCCTTAAACGCTTCTTCTTTCGCGGCCTGGTCATGAAGTCCTCCTCAGCCAACATAGAAGTGTACGCCATTGACCTTGGTTTCACCGTTTCCGTCCCTGTCAGCGCCCTTCGTCCCCTCTTCTGTCCGCTATTTTCGCTGAAGCGCCTGCCGCCAAAAGCTCTGATTGCCGGTCTGGAGCGGATCACCTCGTCGTACGGCAATGGCCAGTGGCAGTCGATTGCCATTGAGACAGTGAAGTCCATTGCTGTGGGACGAGAGGTGGTGATCGTGCCGAGCCGTTTTGAGGGCGGCACCTACGCCGTAGATCTCACGTCGACCGATGCACAGGGACACGAACAGAACGCCATAAGAATGCTCAAGATGTTTAAGCTCGCCAAGGACATTGCCTAGTGCTGGCGAGGTGAAGATTGCATTTCCGATGGATACTATTCACTACCCACAACCTCTACCCTTTTTCTCTTTTGTTTCGTTTCATTATCTCTTCCACTTATCCAGGCCACCTTTTGCCTGTGCTTCATATCTCTTTTGCACTTTCTGTTCAGCACACACCCACAAACTATTATTTGATTGATTACTCTCTCCCTCATTTTCTCCCTTATCAACTAAACTGTGTCACCTGTGCTTTATCCCTTCTTTCTTCTTTTGCTTTTAGTGTTTTGAAAGTTGCTGTGCTTTCTGCTGCTGCTGCTGCTGTTGATGTTGCTGTGTACAATCCAAACTCTAATGAATTGTTTTCTTGTTCTCTTGTTTACTTTAGGTAACCTTTGACAGGGGAACAGCTTGGAAACTCGAACGTTTGTTTTGCCCGGCCGGCCGTACCGTTTAGCGACTGCTGATTAGACCACTTGATGACCACAAGACAGGACAGAACAAAAGTCATTCAGCTGTCCTTTGTGTGTGACAGGCCTACAACGCGCACACACACACTCACATACACATCACCTCTCGTCAGTGCTCTTCTTTAGACGTGACCTTTTCTGCTTCTTCTCCTTCGGACACTGTCACTCACTGTCGTCCATTCTTTGCTCTTCTTGACCACCGCCATCATCACCGCCACTCAACCCGTGTTGCAAGAGTGCACGAGTTTGCTAATAATACTGATGATGCACT